GTGGATTTCCAAAACATGCTGTATTCAACTCTCCTCTGATAAATATAGTCACTAGACTACGACTTCACTGAGGACAGGAACTCTTTCAAAGGTACAATTCTTATGTTATCCTCTTTGGTGTTTTATTCTCAGGAGCAATTCTATAAACATTTGTTGAATGGAAGAACAAACTGTAGGTTTAGCAGTGCACCTGGGATGGGAATGTCACAAAGACTTTCTGGAACAGGTGGAATGGAACATGTTTAATTAGGGCAATAGACTCTGGTTTTATTTGTTTTGGGGGAGAACATTACATGTAGCATCTTAAAATGGGCACTGTTTACAGCTCTACCTTTGTTTCTGATAGCCAAGTACATTTCCCATATAAAACAATGTAGTTCTGCAGAAGTATGGGTATTAGGAAACTTTAAATTCAACATATCCATAAGAATCCATATAAGAATGTCTAGACTTATAATACATTGGCGTTGCATCTTATGGCATTGTCGTTGATGCTAATGATAACAGCTGTCATTCAGAGTGCTGATGTGTAACTGAATTTGTTGAGATTCCCTAGAAGCAGAGCTTGAGATAGGGATTCAGGAACATGTGATTTTCAAGGGTGTACTCTTCAGGGAAAACTTGGAAGAATGCCTACTAAGGATGAGGTCTTGTCATTTCTAGCCTTGCCTGATCCACAGGTGTTATGGAAAGGAAATCACACTGCAGGTTCTTTCACTGCTTCACACTGAGGGAAGTAGTAGGACTTTTATACTGCCATACCAGTCAGGTATTGGTCATCACCAGTGAGCCAAAGTAGGAGGTTGGTGCTGAGCAACTGGGTAGGATGCACTGATGAACTGATCTTGCGTCTGTAGGCCTGACAGCTCCTAAACTCACAGCAAGTGGAGAATTACAGTGTAGGTCAGTAATGGGGACCTGATTGAGGCAGCAGTAAGGCCAGATGCCTGGCATATTTTCCCCCTTTATTTGGAAACAGTCTCACATTTCCAGAAAACTTGCAAATATAGTAGTACAAAGACCTTCCCCTCCCCATCCCCAACCATCTGAGACAAAGTTGCTAACTCTGTCACCCCTGAATTCTTTAGTGTGTAATTCCTACAAACAAGGACACTCTCCATTATAATCACTAGACAGTCACCACATTAATACTGTTAGGCTGTTACTTATTTGGATTTGATTATTATAGATATCCATTCCTCATCAAACTTTCAGTTTATTTATATCAATATGGAATTAAAGTTTAAATGGATGCCTTCCTCCACCCTGACGTATGGATGGCTCTTGTTTGACTGCACCTTAGGGTTTTAGCACCAAATTGTATAGGAAGGGAAGGAAAGATGACAGGACAAGGAAAAGGAAGGGAAAGAGGAAAAAGAAGAGGTATGTACATTATTTTTCTAATCCTTGTAAGACCATCAAAATGAGCACTACCCACTTTCCAAAGAAAGCATGCCTTAGAGACATTGGTCACTTGCCCAAGGTAGTGAATAAGATTAAAGATATATGACATATAAATGCTAGCTAGTCAGTAATGAGCCAGCATCTGAACTGCAGGCCTTTCCCACTGTATAGCCTGGATTCTGTCTGCTGCATTGCCTGCCAAAAAGAGAATGCTTCCAAGATATGTTTGTCCCCAAATGTGTAAGAATAGTCTTTTAAGACAAGGTACTCAGTTCTCCTAGGAACTGATAGGTTGCGTTCATTCATTAGAACAGGTTTTCTTCCCCTTAGCCTACTTCCCTATCTTTCTCCTGTCTGCATATCAGCTCAACAGGAACTTGACTTTATTTGACTCAGTTGCCAGAGTGGGGTAACGCGATTGGATGTCTATAGCCAGAGACACTGTGCCAGTGGTCTACCTACCTACCGGATGGTAGTTTCTTCCACTCTGGCACTGCTGGGATGAGTCATCTTAGGTGCTTGCCAGCCCTGTCCTCTCCTCCCCAGCCAGTGATACCCTGCTGCTGTAAGGGAGCTTTGTGACTTTCTGAGATTGTCAAGTGGGGAAGGAACTGTTAAATCTAGGATGAGGTAGGGGGAAAAGCGTGCTCTGATTTTAATCTTGCAGTCATGGATACACTAGTCTTAATGCTTCCCAGAGCAAAAAATCTTGAAGGCTGGCATAAAATATCAGGTTAAAGTATATACATTGTGAAAGGGACTTTTCACACTATCTGTAAATAACTTTTTAATACCTACATGGCTTTGGGGTCCATGTAAAGAACCCCAAAAGACACTATAGCAAAATAAAAGATAGAAGGCTAGCATCTATTTGCATAAAACAGCAAAAGAACAATAGCCAAATAAATTTCTTGTCCCTAAAAGCATCTTTAGAAAAAGAAAATTGGATTTTAACTTTTTCAGATATAGGGTATAAACTTTTTATCATAAAATTCTAAAACTGGAGCTGTTAATCCCAGCTACTTGTAAGGCTGAGATCAGGAGGATCATAGTTCAAGGCCAGCCAAGGTAAATAATTTGTGAGACCCTATTTCAACCAATAGCCAGGCTCAGTGGTGTGCACCTTTCATCCTAACTCTGCAGGAGGCTGAGATTGGGAGAATCGTGGTTCCAAGCCAGCTTGGCAAAAAAAGTTCACAAAAGCCTATCCCAACAAAAAAAGCTGGGCATGGTGGTGGCACCTGTCTGTCATCCCAGCTATAGCAGGGAACATAAAAGAGGAGAACCACAATCTAGGCCTACCCAGGCAAAAAGAAAGACCCTATATCAAAAGTGACCAGAACAAAAAGGGCTGAAGGTATTTGAAATAGGTGCATTTTATGAGGCAAAAAAGCAAAGCCAATGCAGGCATAGTTCTGGTTGCTAAGGCTGCCATACAAAAATCCCTTAGCTCAGTTGCTTCCTGAGTTTTATTCCTGTAACCCAAGCAGGTTTCCTTGCAAAGAGGCCTGTGATACTGAATCTTTGACATCAGTACCCTCTGGAGTGGACAGGTCCTAAGAAAAGCAAAGGGAAACATACCAGAAGGAATTTGAATTTGTATTCACTGTTTATATTTTCTCTGAGGACAAATTAATGTTAGTTTATTTATTTAGTCGTTTTTTCCAATTAAAATTGTATTTCAGAAAAAATAATTGCAGATTCAGTGTCCTGTCACTACCCTAAGGGGTAGCGTGATCATAACACACAACTTCTTAAGGTTACCTGAATTTGCCACTACTTTGAGCTGGATTACTTCACCTCAAGATATTAAATCACACAAAGCTTTTGATTTCTTTTTCTTTGAGCCCTTGGGGACAGCCCAGAAACAGTTACTTTATGCAGTAGGAAAGCCTGCCCACCCAGCACACACACACACACACACACACACACACACACTCATTACTGCCTACATTCATATGGATGACAATAGCTTTCAAGAAACCAGTGAATCTATGAATTCCAGCGTCAGGCTTTCTCTCAAAGAGCTTTGTTAGGAGAAAATCAGTTTTATGAAATAAGTGTTGTTCACATGTTCACTTGCTCCTTTAAGAAAAAAAAAAAAAAACACTGCTACCATTTGCAAACTTAGAACAACTGAAACCAAAATAATTTTCATAAATATTTTAAATAGTTATTAATTCCAGGGCATTGTTTGAAAGGGTCTCCAAAATTCTTTTTTTTTCCCCATTGGTTTTTTTTAAACAGTATGACTTATTTTTCAGCCTTTGTTTTACTGGTATTTAGGAATCTCAAATCAGAAGTGATTCTGGATATTTTTTCTTAAATTTTCTTCTAAATGTTTAGTCTTATTTCTTTATTCAGAGTATACCATATTTGTTTACTTTTTTTCACTTCCCTAATTTGACCTATTTCTTACCCAGCCTTATCAATGTACCTGGGGACAATCCAAATGGCCAGGGGACAATGAAGATGATCAGTTACAGCAACACCAAGCTGATCTTGCCCCTTTTCCAAGCTATATTTTGTCTCCTTTTGCTCAAAACCTGCTTGACTTCAGAGCACAATAAAATCCAAGGAGAAAGTCCCATCTCTCTACTGAAAACACTGGGTCATCTCATTCTTTCTTTAATTAATTCACTGAACTAAAATTTATGAAGAACCTGCTGTGTGCACCTCTCGTTTCCTCCAACACCCTCCTCCCAAAGAGTTATAAACTCTATGCGTGGATCATTGCTAGTAGCTCTCCTATATTTCTCACTTTATCTGTCTGCCATTTGATCTGCCTAATAAATTCCAACCTCACTCCATGCCCCTTTAAGACCAATTTGTTTGATGATTGTTGTAATAGTACAGAAATCACACAAAATGGGTATGTGTTTTTGCATGTTTTCCCAGAAGCCTTTGAGTCATAAGAATGAGGAATACACATATTGATTTCTATAGTTCTGATTTGACAACTTGTATCTGTTGCCTTTTTATGATGGTTTCACTTCTCAGTGGCAGTGACAGTCATTCTATTTTAAACCCTTTCCATAGCTGCACATTTTTAAAACTCAGTTTCAGCAAATCTCATAGAGTGGCGATTATGAGTGTTAGCAACAAAGTCTCAGAAGATGAATCATTTGTTTCTATTTTTTTCTTAACCATGTCCCGTTCTTTTATTCATTATTAAGCACATTGATGTGACGATGAAATGGTTTCCTCTATTTTTATCTTCAAACGATCTCTAGTTGCTGTTTCTGCACATTGCTAGATTTATTCCAGCCTCTTACACTGGGATCGTAGTTCAGCTTCAGTTTGGAGCCAAGTGCCCCACAGCAGAAATGACCACACCTCTGCAGTGGCATTTTTCCCAGGCCATTCCTGCCTTTAATAACCAGCCAGCCAGGAGGCAAGTCTGCATCTCCTCACAACAGAGCCTTGTGTTAGGCCTGGTGCACAATTAGCTGTGAGCAATTACAAGTGGTCCTCTCTTTGAAAGCTCTTTCAGCACCATGTCTACACTTACACCACTGCTTTTATTTTTAATCTAATGGCTTTGCCTCTCTCTCCCTCTCTTTCTCTCTCTGAATTAAATAATATCAACAAAATAGAAACCAAGGAAATTCAGAGGTTTGCGGCTTTACAAAGACTGGATCTCGAAAAGATTTTCACAAGACGCTTCAGAAACAGACGTTTGAATCAGAAACCTTGGAGTGCAATGAACCCGCTGCTCAGGTATTTCCTATCAACAAACATGGTTACCAGGGTTACGGGTTGCGGGGGGGGGGGGGGGGGGGGGGGGGGCTGTTCTGCACATTTTTTTTTTAAAGGAGAATGAAAGAGTCACAGAATATCCAAGAAGGAGGAACTCTACCATCTGAGTCAGTGATACCTATTTTTTTTCAAGCTTGTTTGTAGCTACAGAAATTAGTATTTAAATGAAAACCCAGAAGTTTCATGATTAAAATAGATAAAAATGAAGGGACTCTAGTTAGGGAAGGAAGACACCTTGAGCCCATTCCTAAAACAATTCCTGCAGTTTCCCCCCCTGGAAAGCAAGAATGATGCTAACTCATAAGGTTATTTGAGTATTAAGTGAGTTAATGTGTGTAAAACTTTCACAGTAGCCAAAAGATGGAAGCAAGCCAAGTGTCCATCACTGGATGAATGGATAGGCAAAATTTGGTTACCCAAGGTGAGGAAAGAATGGGGAATTCTTGTTTAATGGATACAGTGTTTCAGTTTTGCAAGATGAAAAGAATTATGGAGATGGATAGTGGTGATGGTTTCAATACAGTGTGAATGGACTAGTCCTATTGAAAAATGGTTAAGATAATAAATTTTATGTTATGTATGTTTTACCACAATTAATTGTTTGTGGGTTTTGGTTGTTTGTTTTTTTTTTTTTCATGGTACTGGGGCTTGAACAAAGGGCCTACACCTTGAGCCACTCCATCACCCCTTTTTTTTGTGATGGGTTTTTTCAAGACAGGATCTCATGAACTATTTGCTGGGGTTGACTTTAAACCGTGATCCTGCTGATCGCTGCCTCCTGAGTAGCTAGGATTACAGGTGTGAGCCACGGGTGCCCAACTATGATTAAAATTTTTACAAGTCAGTGTTCTAGTCCAACCTGCTCATTTTACAGGGAGAAAAATAAAAGAGAAGAATAAATTTGTCTGAATTTGCACAAGATTGCTTCTGAACTACTGTAATTTTCAGTTTTCAGATGTCTTCATAACACAGGCATGCTGAAAATAATTAGAATAATACCCATTTTTCAAACAACATGGTCTCTAAAGCCAAGCCAACTGCTTAAAATGAACTTCACAGCCGTCAATTCTAGTGCTGAATATGGCAGGCTTACTGAGAGATGGAATATCTATTTGCAGTACATACTGTATGGGTGATTTAGGAAATTTTCATTGGTAGTTTTCACACTACATGAACGATTAAGTTGTGCCTTGTATTAGTAAGAAAGAAGCCACACTCTATATTTCACCACAAGGGATTTAACATTGGGAATTGATTAAATGAGTTTTGGAGAGCTGAGAGAACATAAGGGGAAAGCTGAGGTTATACAGAAGTCATAACTGCAGGAAACAGCACAGCATCTAGGGTCTGGGGTGGAAGGCAGTGATTCTCCTACTTGATCTTCATCAGAATCCCCTACAGGGCTGTTCAAACACAGACTGCTGGACTCTACCCACCAGAGTCTCTGACTCTGTATGTCTGGGGTTGTGATGAGGGTTTGCATTTCTAATTAGCATTTCACAAGTGATGCTGTTGCTGCTGGTCCCAAGATTACAATTGGAGGATCACAGTTCTCCAAGTGTAAAGCTTAGAGTTATCAGAACCTAGGTCTAGGGTAAAACTTAGAGTTATCAGAACTTAGAAGCTCAGAAGAGAGGCCTCAGAGCAAGAACTCAAATCCCTGAGAAGAGGGCACTGCCCAGCAGGTGGAGTTTTCTTAAGATCTCAGAGGACCCAATGAAGTCTGGATTCAGAGCTCTTAGAAGAGGCTGCCCTGCTAGTGTCACTACCTCCAAGGAAATAAGACGAGGATGATTCTAGAAGTGTGGAAAGCAGCTGAAGGCTAGAACCAGCTGTCACACCAAAGTGAGAGGAACTGCAAGCAAAAGGGAAGGAGCCAGTCCCTTCTTCCTACTACAGACATCCAGTCCCCACCCCGCCCCACCCCCGGCCCCATAGTACCTCCTATCGGCAGAACTTAAAGGTAACAGAAGGTGAAGCAAAAATATGATTTACTAAGTCCCAGACTTATCACCATAGAACAAAATAAAAGTCATATATGTTCTACAGTATACATATATTTCATCAAAAATTAGATCACTTTATGTACAATGTTTTATAGCTTCCTTTTTCTTATTACTAGTATACTGAGGTTATCTTTCTCTTCCAGTGAATACATTTTAATGGCTGCATAGCATTACATTGTGTATAAATTTCAAAATCTTTTAATCCTTCCCCTTCTGAGGGACACTTACTTTGTTTCTATTATTTTACTATTGCAAACAATGTTTCAGAGATTATCTTGGTCCTCATATTCTCATATACTTGCCTAAATATATCCTTAGGACAATTTCTTAGAAGTAAAATTTCTGAATTAAAGCATATAAGCATTTTAAGACTTTTGACACAAGTATACATACACACATATATATATAATCTTGAGATCCTTTTAAAGAAACTTGAGAAAGTAAACTCATTTTCCTCAAACCCTTATAAATTCTAAGACAAACAAAATTATTTGTAATTGAAGTGGTAATATTGATTATTGCCAGAACATTCAATATAGGTAAAATTTATGATTTAGTAGATTAGCACTTTAATGAGATAAATAAATGTCACAAAAATGTGTAGTATAAATTGTAAACAGTACATCCATTTTGCAGCACTTTGAGAATAACATTCATAAATTTTACAAATATTTACCATTGATCTGTGTTTTACAATACATTGTTGATTATAGTTATTTATTCTTTGCGGAGTCTTTGATTAGGTGTGCAATTCCCAATTACCAAGAAACTCCTAATGGATCCACTCATGATGGATTTAAGACTATTTTTTTCCAACACACTTCAGCTGTAAGCTATAGTTTCTTTTTTTTCCTTCCTTCCTTCTTTCCTTCCTTCCTTCCTTCCATCCTTCCTTTCTTTCTCTTGTGCTAAGTCCTGTAGGTAAAAGCACCCAAACCTCACATCTCTCTATTTGGAAACGTAGCACTCAGCTTTTGGAGTTTATATAAGGTTTGCTTTGGAAGACTCTTCACAAGTCATCTCATTTTCCAGTTTCAAAAACTAAGTTCTCGGAGTTGAGATTAGAATAAGGTCACTGTAGCCCCAGTCCAGTCTCTGTTTTGCTTCAGCGTGAGACATGAGCATGGTTCCTAAGAGACTTGGCTCCCAATCTCCAGAAAAGAAGAAGCCAACAACTGAGAGGGACACAGTGCTGCTGTCAACTTTGTTCACACTGGTTTATCTGTATCTGAGGAATGACTACTCATCCAGATGAGAAGGAGACATCTCACTTCAGAACAGTCAAGCCAGGAAGCTACGATACCATTCTTGTCAAAATCCCTGGTTTATTCAGAAAACTCCTTAAGGCCTGAAATTTTGTAGATCCATGTTGGAGTGCTCTTGAGGCATCCGAATCTATCTCTCATTTGATCCCCCTCTCTCTCCACAAAGGCTTATTGTCTTCTCTCACAGACAGGCCCTTGCCGCTTAAACGTGCTGTGCGATGTGTCTGGGAAAGGCTCCCTCACGGCCTGTGGCTTTGACCTCCGCAGTCTGCAGCCTGACCAGCGGCTGGAAAACCTGCTGCAACTCGTGAGCGCCGAGGACTTCGAGAAGCAGAACGAAGAGGCCCGCAGGACTAATCGGCAGGCAGAGCTCTTTGCCCTGTACCCATCGGTGGACGAGGTGGGTGCAAGTGTCCATACTGGATAGTCTCAGTGAAGACACAGATGGTCCCAAGGTGGACTTGACTGTTCAGTATCACTATAGAGCAGCACTTGATATCAAAAGGCTTAATGCTGTGATGTGTGGGGCTGGGTTTTTCACTTAGGCAAGCTTGTGTCACTGGAGGGCCAATTATTGACCATCAGACAGCTGGAATGTTGTTAAGAATATCAGCTGGGATTTTTATAGCACTTTATGAGATATATTCACTGAGATTAGATCATTTACTCCTCACAAGGTCTCAGGTGTTACCTGCAGCAATCCCACTCAGAGAAAAGAACTACCCAGTTATGTGATAGTATGTTTTGCATATAATCTACTGAGTCACATATTACTTAACCTTTATGTTAAGGCTTATTTTTAATGGTCCCAGTGAGCAACTAGAGAGACCTATTTTGAAAGTATTCCCTGCCAAGATAGTCACAGCCATGCTCCCAGTGTGTGGAACTCTGGGATCTTGTTTGTCTATGTTTTATTTATTGAAGCTGACCAAGGGCAATTTGCAGCCATTCGCTGGGATGTTTTGAATGAGATGAGAGATGTCCATTATTCAAGATTCACACCGTTTGTGTTCCTTCTGCTCTATACGAGGCTCTCAGTCTTCCTTTCCACATGTCAGGTTCTCTAAACTTAGGAATTTTGCCAGAACAGATAAGACAGCAGATATGTCTGCTGTCCAAACTTTATTAAAAGTTCAATTGCAAGAAATAAGATTTGGAGAAATTTTGCATAAAAGATATGCATCTATCTGTGGCTCTAAATATTTGAAATTTGGTTCTCAGATCTAGCAACACCATCACGGGACCTGACTCTCACCCTTCGTATAGCTCCTCCTCACCCCATTGAATTGTTTGTTGACAGTAGAGGAAATAGCAGTCATGAGATATGACATCGTGTCCACTGTGGAAATATTGTTGAGGATACTGGCCTGCTCATCACCCAGCTCCCCATCCCAAGGAAGGTCTAAGGGGAAAATGTTCCTCCAGCCTACAGCCAAAGAAATTGTCCACTGAGATACGCACAGACTTAGAGATTGTGCATACTTTTTAATTGACTCTCCTGAATTCCTTACTGAGAGTTACATTTCTGTCTCCACCAAAGATGGCTGCTTACTTGTTGGCATCCTGAAGTCGCTCACCTTTCTGTCCTTATCCTTATCTTCCAACCTTGGTTTCTGTACCTACTACCTTATTTTCAGTTTTGTCTGCAGCCTCAATTCCTCTTCAGAATGAGGTAGACTAAAAATAAATGTCTCACTTATATGCAGAACCCACAAGTGTCTATTTCATAGAAACCGAGAGTAGAAAGGTGCTTACCAAGAGTTGGTGAGGGTTGGGGAGAGGTGTTGATCAGAGATAGAAAATTTCCATTAGACCAGAGGACTAAGTCTTAGTGATCTCTTGCACTGCATGGTAAGCACAGCCAATGATAACATGTCATATGTTTTTAAATTGTTAAAAGAATAGATTTTTCAACATTCTTATCACCAAAAAAAAAAGATAATGAATATGTAATTAGCTTGATTTAATCTTCCTACAGTGTATGCATAAATCAAACCATCACATTGTATCTCACAAAAATACAAGACTATTGTCAATTTAAAAAGTAATAGTTAAAAAAAAGCTAGCCCTCTCATTGTAATAAAAGATGTTATAAAATAAAAAAACTAAAAAAAAGGTAGAAGTAATTTTTGAATAGATATTTAGTATTTACTACCTTTTTTGCATTTTCTTGTAAAATCACCAAATAAAGCTTTAAGTACAAGGAAATTCTATGACCAGAAAATGAATTATTGGAAAAAACTGATAATTCTTTAAAAATGGTTTTACATGAAATTGGTTAAGTAAAATTGATTTCAAATTATAATATAATAATTTAAAATAAGTATAAATTTTAATAATTTCTTTTTGTTTTGGAGGGATTTTTATTTTCTATGGGGCTAGGACAAAATATATTTACTGATGGATACTTATTGGATTATCTATTATTTTTATTATTAAAAAATTAGGCATCATTTGATATTTAAAAAAAAAAGGTAATAGTTGGGCACCAACTGTAATCTGTTACTTGGGAAACTGAGATTATGAGGATTGCCATTTGAGACCAACCCCAAGCAAAACAGTTGAGAGACCCTATCTCAGCCAACAATTGAGTATGGTGGTCCATGCCTGTCATCCCAAGCTATACGAGATGCTGAAATGAGGAGGATCAGGTTCCAATACAGCCTGGGAAAAAACTGAGATGCTATTTCCAAAATAACCAGAGCAAAAGGGCTAGAAGCATGGCTCAAGTCCTAGAGTGCCTTCCTAGCAAGCCCAAAGCCCTGAGTTCAAACCCCAGTACCATTTAAAAGGAATAAGTAAATAAATTAGATAGGAATTATATGGGCAGTATTGTCAAGTAAGAATCAAAGATTAAGCAATTTGTTCAAAGTTTAAAAGGTAAAATAAGTTATAAAACAGGGACCCTAACCCATTAACTAAATTTCACGTTTTCTTGTTTATGTATTTCTGTGTGACTACCTGGTATATTGGCATACATAACTGAATGCAAAGATGATATTTTAAAAATCACATCTTTCCATCTATAACCAGATTTGTCCAAAAATACTCTCTTATGAGTACTAGTCAAGTGAAGATTTGTTCTTCACTTCCTTCCTGTTCTGCCTATTTCTATGATAGAGATACTAACATGTAATAAAGGAAGCTAAAGTGGATACCAGAAAAGACAAAAAAAATTAAAGAATGAGACCAAGACCAGTAAGACTTAGGTCATCAAAGTCTCCCTGATGCATGAAGTGGGAGATTGTCCAGTCTGATGGATTGAAAGAATAAACCTTAAATTGCTTTTGAACATACTTTGTTTTATTGTCTTTAAGACAAAGTAGAAACACACATGGGGCTGAAAGTTATAATCTCCCAGAGGTCCTAGTGGATCTGCACTTACCCAGTAAAGAGGAAAGCTTTGTAATTAATGTACAGCTACTTGCAAGCTAGAATGTGGAAAATGCTTGAGGGCCTCTACACCAGTCCTTTAAGATTTTGAAGCTGTCCCCACTGAAACTAACATTGTACTACACATGTTCCAATGTGTACTTTCTCCAAAGAAAGTCATAGGAAGGGAGGTGATTTTCTGCAGCCTCTGAAAGGATTTTAAAAAGTGCTGATATTTTTGGTGACACATTAATGAGATTATTTTATATTACCATTACTTTATTTCCCAGTAAGGAAAGTTAGAAGAGGTAAACTATTATACTGAAATTATGACTGAGTCCCAAAAGAGGCCAAAGTAGAAATCAACCCCTAGGCTTTTGCCATGTAAGTTCTGCTTTCCATTGCAGTGATTCAGCAAGAAGCATCCCATGTGTTCATCCTAAGGACAATACCTCTATACTAAAAATTTCACCGAGGTTTGCTAAGAACTCTTGCTTACAAGGGACAGAACCCAACTATAAACCAATAAGACAGCCAACTGTGGTGGTACATGCCTGTAATCCTAGCATTCAGGACTTGGTGACAGGAGGATACAAGTTCGAGGACAGCCTGTGCTACATAAAGGAAAAAAAAAAAAGATTGGAAAGTACTCTTTGGCTCATATAGCAAAACCACAGGTAGACAAATGTGGAGTTGGCTTCAGGATCCATTGGCTCAGTAGATGGAAGACTATCATCTCTCTCATCCTTTCTCTCTCACTCCCTTCTCCCCTCTCTCCATTTACATACATTTTCCAGGATGCTGAAAACCACAGGTGTACACTAAAGCTTCCTGCTCCCTTTTCTGTTTCTTTGGAAATTAGCTGTAACACCTCAAGAAATTCAGGTACAAGATACTTAGGAAGTACATTATCCAAATGTCACATGTGGACCTTGTTTGGACCCTAGTTTAACAAATAGAGACTAAATATTTAGTGGCAATAAGAAATTATGGCAATTTTAGGAGCAATAATGGCATTATTATATGTGCTTTTTAAAAGTCCCTATCTTTTAGAGATATGGACTGAAATATTTACAGATGAAACGAAATGATGTCTGGGGACTTGCTTGCAAATAATCCAGTATTTAGTGGGGTAGGTAGCAAATGGGCATACAGATGAAATCAGGTTGCTATCAGTTGAAATTGTTGGAGCCAGGTGAAAGTAAGGAGTGGTCACTGTGTTAGACTCTCTACTTTTGTATTATGTTTCAATTTTTCCAAATAAACAACTTTTAAAAAAAGGATTCCAAAAGTTATAATTCAGACCAAAGGCAGTCTTAGAAATCCACAAGTGTCTTTACCTTGAGGTTATTTTCCAGTCGAGGGTTTTCCCTTCACATGTGTCTGTTCTGATGATCCTAAAAAGTTCAGCTGGCCCTGGGAAGTCCAGCTCAGGGTAGACATCAGAGCAGAGCCTCCTCTGAATGGAACTTGACACTGCTACCCAGCAAGATGACACCTGTGACCACAAGGAAAAGGGGTTGGGGGGGGAGGTTGTTGTGGCAAATAAGTTTACCACTTTGCTCATTCTCTACCAGACTGGGTACAAATTTATCAGGAAGGTGACTTCACTGCTATTTGGGAAAATGCCATGGTTGCTGAGGGATCCAGTGGGAAGCTCCCAGCATTTATCACCCAGGAAAAGACAGTTCGATCTGATCTAGTTCCTTGGACTCTTGTAAGTGACAGGCCATGTTTCAGGGTTTGGATGGCCTACTGCAAGAGTGCGAATTAAGTTTTCAAGGATTTGCACTATCTTTGCATACACGAATAGAATTAAGATTCAATGATAGTTAAGGTTTAAATGTAATATTGTAATAGGGACTTGATAGTTCTCCTGAAGTCTTTGTGGTAAGAGAGGCAGGAATAGCTTTTAGCTTGTTATTACTAAGCTTTCTTACTTAGACCTTTAGCAAGTTCTAACTCAACATGACTGTGTATAACCTGTAAATCCAGCTCCAAGTCTCTGTCACCTATTTAAGGGATCAGTGAGCTGAGAAAGAGACTCCATGTTGTAGCATGGAGGGGTTACAGCCTTTAGGGAACTATTCTGACTCAGATCTCAAGTCTGAAACTCACATGTTTACTAGTTAAAACTGTTGGCAGGAGAAATAGTTTGAATGTATATTTAGAGCAAGCAAATGAGGGAAAAAAGCCAACAATAGGTATAACATTTTGTAATGCCATCTGGTGGATGTTACAAAGTCACATCCAGGTTTACATTTCCTTCCTTCCTCCCTCAGGCTCTTTGTCTCAAATGCATGGGTTTCTGAAAGGAGAAATGATAACATCGAAGGCTGGGGGCTGGATGACAGACAGACAAAATAGTGTTCTCCTATTAGAAATAAAGCAAATTGACTTGAACCTAGGAGGGCAGCCTTTCCTTTCCTGGGTTTACACCCTCTGGAAATCCTCATGGAAATCCACTAATGACTTTTTTTACAATGTGATTAATAATAGGAGGATGCCGTGGAAATACGTCCGGTACCAGAATGTCCAAAGGAACATCTGGGCAACAGAATATTGGTGAAGGTGCTAACCCTGAAGTGAGTATCAGCAAACATGCCTGCCATGGCACTGATGCCTGTCTCGCCCATAAGATAAACTGTGCCTGGATCATCAGCTGGAATGAGGGAGGCTCTCCCAGCATGCTGGACAGAGGGGAACCATGGGGGAGAGGAGAAAGAGCAGAGCTTGGAGCTGGCTAGTGGATTCTGTTCCTGCCTAGCCTTTGACAGTCATTCTGGTACAACAGGGAAGGCAAACTCAGTGCCTGCTACACTCAGGCAGGCGTGGAAGTAATTGAGTGAAATGGCCTCCAATAAGAAAAATGGTGGTGGGCTGGGGTGTAGCTCAGTGGTAGAGCACTTGCCAGCATGAGCAAGGTCCTGGGTTCCAGCACCGCAAATAATAAAGAAACAATAAAAAATAGCGGTAAATCCAGTGGTGTGCTGAATCAGCTTATACTGATTCTCTTCCCAGTTCCATGTTTGGTGAAATCACATTGGTAGGTTAAAAATGGTGAAAATACCTACAACACAGAAATCAGCAAGGGCTACAAATGAGATGCTTTTCTTTTTCAGAGACTTGTTTGCTTGACATTTCCCAACACACCTCTGCTGAAACACAATGATGGATGCAACTGAAACCCAATCTCAGTGGTAGGGGACGATAGGGAGTAGTGGGGACTACAGGGAGTAGTGGGGACTACAACAAACTTTGCTAAGGGGCAGGGGACCCACTACTATCTACACCAACTCTTGCCAAGTAAATAGGCTTATTTTTGCCATTTTTCTGATTTTTCTTTTTTCTGGAGAAGCTGAGAATGCATCTTTTTCTGTATAAGTGTCTAACTTCTTAAATATTTTCTCATTTTTTAGAAACACCACAAACACCATACAATTCGAACGAAATATGTCTGCATTTTGGTTTCAACTTATGGATCAGTTAGTTTCCATATTTACAGTTAAAAAGTTATCCCTAGCCACCCGGCTGACTAGATGCAGTGACTCCAGCACATTTACAATGTCATAGATGCGTCTCCTTTCCACACCTGTTTGAAAAACAGAAGCCAACAGATATCATGTACATGAACACCATTGGGTATAAATTCCTTGAAGGTCAGGACTGTTTCTGTGAACTACTGTGTAAGATGCCTAATGTAATACTCAATAAATTCAATCTGTAAGGAAAAAAAAAAAA